TCATTTGCTTGAACTAGCAATTTCAATTCCAACAAAGTAGCATAACCTCCCAAAGTCTTTGATGTCACACTTTTCATTCAAGTATTTTTTGAAAATTTTAATCTCTTGAAAATGATCACTAGTGATGGTGATGTCATAAACATAAACCAAAATGACCATAGTCTATTGGAGTTCTTCTTAACAAAGAGAGAGTGATCTAACTCACCAGTTTTGAAGCCAAAATTCACAAGAGCAGTACTGAGCTTGCCATACCAAGCTTGTGGAGATTGCTTGAGATCATAAATTGCTTTATTTAGTTTGTACACAAATCCATGTCCTTCCAAGGAATGTCCTTAGCGAAGGTCCTTGTACACTTCTTCTTCAAGGTTGTCTTGTAGGAAGACGTTCTTAACATCCGTTTGAAAAAGTGACCATCTGTAATTAATAGCAACTGACATGAGAATTCTAATTGTTTTCATTTTCACTATAGGGGCAAATGTTTCTTCGTAATCCACCCCAAACGTTAGAGTATAACCTTTTGCTACAAGTTTTGCTTTGTGCCTCTCAATAGATCCATCACTTTTGTTTTTTATCTTGTACATCCACCGACAACCAACAGGTCGTTTCTCAGGTTGCGATGGGATTGTATCCCAAGTGTGGTTTTTATCTAGAGCATATAGTTCCTCATCGATGGCTTTCTTCCATATAGCCGAGCTTTGTGCCTCAAGAAAGCTCATTGTTCTTTGTCCTTATCAATAGCAATAAAAAAGCACTGAACTTAGGTGAAATATTTTCATAAAAGATTGATGCTTGTATGGGATAAGGACCGGATGAATGATATTTTGAGAAGTCATGCAGCTGCGTTGATGGCTAAGAAATTCTAGTTGGCCGACGATGTTGGAAAGATAAGGATGATTAGTCAGTAGAGTTCAAATTTAGTAGGAGATTTGACTCAAAATCGATAAATATGGAAATAACAATTGTATTTTCCTTTCCAATAAATATTCATTTTATTCCCAAAATATATACTATCTTATTTAAAGATAATGAAATCCCCAAGGTGATATGTAGAATTGAGGGTTTCCAGCGTGGTCAACTACACCTTCTCCTTTTTCATGTGTGTGAGAGATTACAAAGAAAACATGGTATCAGAGTTAGGTTCGAACGTGGTGCTTCTGCTAACGAAGTCGCTATTTGCCACTTCGTTCTACTTTTGATTCAAATGTGCTCTTGACCATCCTTGTTGATATGAGTGCAATAAAGCTTGGAATTTCGACCCCCGCACTTTCCTTTTACGCCATTAGATTTATTACTACTGTTAGTTTGAGTACATTGGTGATTGGGATTGGAATTAACGGTATTAGCCGAACTCTCCATTGTCTCTCCACCTTGGTGTTGAGTTTCTTCACGTTGGATAATGGTGCAAACATTAGTGAAGATTGGAAGAGTGGGGCTCATAAGGATTTGTCTTTTGACATCCTCATATTCAGATCGAATGTTTGACAATAATTGAAAATCCGACTCTTCCCTTTGAGAGTATGTTGTCACATAATCAGCAGGGGAAGATGAAGTTCATCCCATCTTCATGTATGGCCATGAAGATAATGCCTCTCGAATTTTTGAGTTGCAACAGGAAATTACTCATACCGAGCTAGCTCCCAATGAACCATTTAGCAAGTATCTTGAAACTCTGAAAAAGATGTTAGAGATATTTAAAATAATTTTGATGGTATTTTATATCTTTCAAGATTGAGCGAATATCTCTCTTTGATTCTATGACAACATGTTATGGTTCCAGACTTAAAGTCAGGAAGAGGGACAATGGACGGTTTGACAAACATTGTTAATTTTAATCCCAATCACCAAAGTACTCAAACTAACAATAGCAATAAATCTAATGGTGGGAAAGGAAAATGCAAGGGTCGAAATTCCAAGCTTCACTACACTCATTGCAACAAGGATGGTCAAGAACTTATCTGAATTAGAAGTCGAAAGAAGCAACAAATAGCGACTTCGATAGCACAGGCACCATGCTTGAACATGACTCTAATACCATGTGGTTCAGTCGACTAAGGAGAGGACCCTTGGAAGCCTACGTCCACTAGAGGAAGCCTCCAATTCCACATATCACCTTGGGGGATTTCAGTATCTTTAAATAAGATAAAATACACCTTTGGGGATAAACATGAAGATCTATTGAAAAGGTAAATATAGTTGTTATTTCCTTCTTTATCGATTTGAGCTAAATCTCCTACTAAATTGGGACTCTGTTGACTAATTATCCTTATCTGTTACTAATTAAAGGACAAAAATTGTTGGACTTTCGAGAGGGAGACGACTATTTTTGCTTAATATAAATAGAGAAAATTTGTGCTTTGAATACTTTATAATTTCAAAATAAATACACAGGAGATGTGCATTATTTGCCTTTCGTCATGGCAAATTTTTTTTGTGAGCAGAGCATTATTACGTGAATCCATTTGACTCTTTTTTTTATTAAATGATAGGATAATTAAGAATTTTTTAAGATGATAACATACCAAGGATCTGCGTTTATTTCTTTGTTCGCTATAAAAGCGCTAGAAAGAGCGGATGAGCAAGTGCTACTCTTTTGACTCACTTGTCTTCAGAGATTTTGTAGATTAATTGCAAAGATAGATAAACTAAAAAAAAAGAACCTTACATGGCTTACTTCCTTTATTAACCTTTACATTTATTAGGAATGAGCATGATTCGGATAGAGCAGTCCCGTGCAATGTTGGTCTACAATTTTTGGAAATAGGGGTCAACCCTGTTAAGCCTCTCCAATTTTTGGAACCTTGGGGTTGACCCCCGTGGGTCCGATCCGGTGTCAAGGTCAACCCGGGATCAATCGATTCTTTTTTTGTTTCATTTTTTTTATTCCTTGAGGCTGCATTTGGTGGCCCCGATTTGAGTCCGGATGTGATATTAAATTATCATATGATGTTTGGTGACGTTTTCCGGACCGGATAAATCATGATATATCTAGATAAAATGCCAGATAAGAAATCTGGCCTAGGGATAGGATTTACCCATATTGGATATAAAATTTTAAAATTAACTTGACAATTCCCAAGCACTAGGAAACCTCACCTCAAGCGAGACTTGTTGTCCTTGGCATTTATCATGGGCAGCACCCTACCACCACTCCGGCAGCCATCTACCATGATGGTCCCTCACTCCAGCGTCATCGAGTATCCTCGTCGATGCCCTTGCTCGCAGCTCGCTTGGAAGGTTAGGGCTCACCATCTCATCCATGGCTCGCTCTCTTTCTCAATCGGTTTTCCAGCTTTTCCACCATCACCGAAATCATATCTCTGTTCCTCTCTCTACTTCACCTTTGATTACTCATTCTTGACTTCCATTGTTTCACAATCTCTCTCTTGGTCGACTCTGATTTAAGCGTTCATCAAGTGTTTGATGAAACGCTAGAGAGAGATTCTCATCGCCTTCGGTTCAGAATTTTGCTTAATGGAAGAGGTCATATCTGTTGAAAGTCGTTATGCTCCTGAGGCTGATTTCCTAGAGACTATTTGTTAGGTACACGAGGAGCCCATCGGAGATGGGATATTAAAAGATTTTCAACAAGAAGGACATTAAAAGATTTTCAATTCCATCTTAGGTTGCAAATCTTCAAAGATTTCAAATCCTATTTTCGGTTGTACTAAACATTTGATGAGATATTTTCTATAATCCAAAGGATATTTTGAGGATTTCAAATCCCGCTTTATCCCATCTTATCTCAATCCGAATCTGGACAATCAAAATATACTCCAAACAACGTCGCACAAAGAGAACATTCTCAGTGTTGCATAACAATACAATGAAAAGGGATGACTGGTGATTTTCCATGCATGGTACCCATATTAATTATAAAGCTAACTACAAAGGTAGGACACTCCTATTCTCAAGATCCAAACAACACGTCGCCCCAAGCACAGGAGGGCTAGTCAACATGTTGAACACAAAAGGCTGACTTTCCAGATTTTTCGTTCAAATACAGATTTGGGAATCTTTAAAACTCCGCTGAACATAGCCTCAACAAAATTCATATAGTAATACACACATCATACACAGAATGGAAGACCCTAAAACATCCTCGCCCTGTGCTTCACATATTTCCCTCCGACCAGGGCTAGCACCAAGCCCTCATACGGTCTCGACCCAAACCACCGAGCCTTCCTCGCTCATTTAAGCGAAACTAATGTGGTGTAGCCATTGCTATAATTGCCTCATCATCTACCATCAGCTACCACCCCTGAATTCACCTAATTGAAAAGAGAAAACCACTAGAATCTTAAGTCTAACTTATGCGGAACATGAGACATCTCTCTCCATCAATCACAACCAAGGGAAAACTCCATTCCAATAAAGCTAAGCCCGATGTACACAATGCCTCGTAATAGATGAATCGGCCAAAAAAAATAGAGACGAGATAATGAAAAGAATCAAGTACACACCTGTAGCAGGTGAGATACAACCGATTCAATCACTGAAGGCTAAGGCTCGAAAGGGAGAGGAGGAGAATTGTAGATCGAAGAGATGGAAATGGAAGATTCGAGTGATAATCTAAGATTGAGAGGAGGGAGAGCGAGACTCTGATGAAACAGAAAACGGTGAAAAAGAGGAGGGGCACTTATAGTTTTATATCTAGGGTTTGGACAAAAAAAAAAGATATTTACAGGGTTGGGTTCGGGTTGGACCGGCCCTAAAATCCCAAGACACCAATTCGCACAATGTAAGTTCCAACAATCCAAGAACCGGGGATGGGCCCGGTCCCTTGAGAACCGGATCATGACCTCCCTGGTTGGGCCGGTCTAGGGATATGCTCACTTCCTAACAATTACATTATTGTATGCATTGAATTCCTATTTTTTAGACCCCTGCACTACAGGGCGAGTCAACTCGCATTCCTTCATCGTCGTCTTGTTCCCTCCGAGTTTTGACGCGGATCACGTACCGAGCCACGCTGCGCGAACGCAAGGAGAAGAGAAGAGAAGAGAAGAGAAGGTCGCCTTCATCATCGTCTCGTCGGAGAAACCGAAGGGGCGAAGGAGGGAGAGATCTCGCCGTCCCCTCGCTTCAAGCCCTAACCCCGCCGCGTCTCCTCCCCCCCCTCGATCGGCCGCCGAGCTTCGGTCGATTCGGGCGTGCCGCGGGACCGCGAATCTCTCTGTTGCGGAGGATCGCCCCCGGTCGCGGGATCGAATGGCTCGTCCGTCGGCCGGCGGCTCGGGCAATCGCCGGCGGGTGGAGCTGATGATCTCCACTCTCCTGCTGGTAAAAAAAAAAATACTGATTATGCTCGCCTCTTGTGTGATGAAGTAGTAGTTGAGTGTGATGAGTGACGATGATGCGCCGGTCTGTATGGCCGCCCTTCCGGATGTAGTTGATGATTGATGGGTCGCTCTTTGCATTTTTTTGAGCTTTGGGTTTGGAGGATGATTTCGTTGTGGCGTGCAGGGGATCGACTTTGTACTGACGTTGGAATGTTTTTGTGCTATTAGTGCCTTGTGGTCAGGTCGTTTGGATCCCCCGTTGGGAATCGTAAAGGCGGGAGGTCTTCGGTGTTTTCGCTGTTTAACCTCAAGGAGCAAAGTAGGTTCTGGAGTGAATCTGTTATACGCCGCGGTGGTAAGCCTGTCTTGCTTAATCTTACACGCTGAACTTTTTATTGTTTTTCCTCCGAGGTCTTGAATATGAAAATGGGTTGTTAAGTTTGTTCACCTTGGTACCACTTGTTGAAAATTTGCAGATCTTGCGGATTTGACCAGCCCTGGCAAAATGGCTCTTCTCAACTATACCAGGGCAGGTAGCTAGAGTATGGGTTTTGCTCACTTCAATCTTTCGCTTATGTTACTTGTTCCTAGATCGATGTATTCCCCTTTTCATTTCAATGTTTTCGTTGCAACTGTGGCCCTCTTCTACTTTTGTTGGTCGGAAGCAATTCTATGTGGCTGCATATTTAGCGAACAGTGTGAGCTTGAAGCTTTTTACTTGAGTCTGTTTGGGGAGTCCGGTGGTGTCTTTATCCTAGGCCAGGTTCAATTCTCTTAAGAATGGAGCTCGGATGCCATTTTCATGTGCTAGCATGTGTTTCCTTAAATTTTAATTGTAGCAATTGCACTTCTTAAATCGATGTAAAACTTTTGTGGTGAAGCGTGAATCCCTTAGTCCAATCCCATTTTGATGTTGAATAACAGTAGAGCAAGTCTATGCTCATAGGGATTTGGATAATCGAGATGGTGGGTGTTCTCAAATAGGAGTCTTAACAAGTTTGGGAGTCTCCTTTTGCTATTGAAACAAGAACAGATGAGTTCATAAAGTTGCACTAATCAGCCGATCATTTACTCTCTGTGGGTTCCTATTCATTCTCATGGATTCATGTTTATTGTCATTTACTTTTCCTGTTGATGGGTGGTTGATATTTGGGACATGTTTTATTTCTTGTCAGGCAATATTGCGAGCTACCTCAAGCTTCTGGAAGTTGATTCTATTTACCTTCCTGTCCCAGTCAATTTCATATTTATAGGATTTGATGGGAAAGGGAATGAAGGTAATTAATTTTCCCGCCAGCAATCTATATCTCAACTTGTCTGCAGACACTGATTTCTTATTGACTTTTTTGTGGTACTCCCTCTCTCACACAGAATTCAAGCTTCATCCTGAAGAACTCGAGCGCTGGTTCACTAAAATCGATCATATATATGAGCATACACGAGTTCCTCAGCTCGGAGAAGTTCTTGCTCCATTTTACAAGACAACTGTTGATAAAGAGCAACGGCATCACCTTCCTATCATCAGTCATGTAAACTACAAGTAATGGCTTTTGCATTGTGCATCTGCAGTATGCTTTTGAGAATATCACATTTGCTTTCTATAAAATTTTTCAACTTGATCAAATTGATTTCCTAATTTATTATCATGCATTCAAGTTTGAGATGATGATGCTCAATATGCTTGTGCAGTTTTTCAGTTCATGCCATCCAAATGGGTGAGAAGGTATCTTCTGTTTTTGAGCGCGCCATAAACGTGCTAGCGCGCAAGGATGATGTCTCTGAACCCAGGTAATCATGGATCTGTCTTTTTCCTCGGTTTACAAAATTTTGAACGTATGTCTATTAAGTGCCTCTTGGGCCTATTCCAATTTGGTTCAGTACATGACTTAAACTTCTCTGAACTTGCTTAAGAAAAAGAAAAAAGTAGGCTGTTGCATGTCAGCAGTTCTGTTGATGTGGAAGAGTATATCCATGGGTCTTATGCAATTGTCGAGGAGCTATCGATCTTAGTAACTAGGTAGATCTGGGGGATTTTCCTCGTAAATGCATGGTTAGAATTAAAAAAAAGAAAATAAGATCATATCTGCTACTTTTCTTTTCTGTTCAAATTTTTTATGGTCAACCTGGTAGTCAGTACTTATTTCATATTTCGTGTTGCTGCTGGACTGAGCATCTCGCTGTCTGTTCTATTTTTGTCCTTGAACAGGGAAACCGAACATCCTCTTTGGCAAGTAGATGTTGACATGTTTGAGGCTCTTTTCACTAGCCTTGCTAAATATCTTGAACTTGAAAATGCATACAACGTTTTTGTCTTGAATCCCAAACACGACAAGAAAATAGCTAAATATGGCTACAGGTAAATGTCTTGATGTTGACCTTTTTTAAATATTGACTCTTTATTTGTAGCAGTTGCTTTTGGTAGATGTAAGTGTGAACATACATGATTAAATCCTTGCCTGATTTAGACTTTTTCTTGGTAATAGGATCCTTGCCTAGACTAGGTGAGATGACTTATTTAAAGACTTTGTTGATCTAGGGATAAGGCTTAATTTTTCAAATTGAAGGACAGAAACTGGGAACCTGAATCAGGGGCATAGGTCCTTTTTCTTTTTCTCTTCTGCTATACTACTCTTGGTCTAATCAAGAGGTAAGGCAGCACGGTTTGGGTAGGTATCTGGCAATGTCTTCCGATGATCGTTGTTTTACATCCTTGCAGCTTCTACCTTTTCAGTCAACTAATTTCTTTCGGCTGTCAATTTTTTATTGTATAGATAATCCCATTGAAGCACCAAATATTAACTTAACAAATACTGACTAAAAAATTTGGCAAATTGAGACCAAGGATGAGTAGGAAGGCATTATTTGGATGAGGACCTCAGAGATAGATCAATTTCAGCGTTTCTGTTTAAGGGGTTTTGGTCATATATTGGCTTCATGCTTTAACTCACATATGCTCTAACTTTCTTATTTAAGTATTGACTTTTCAGTTTCTTTGTATCCTGTTCTTGTATATTTCCGATGTACTAGAGCAGTAAATTATTTTTTTACTAGTAATAATTATCTTTGCATCAAACAGAATGGCAGTGAATGCTACTCTTGTTTCTCTCGTGCCAGTTACTGTATAAGTGGGATTGTGTAGCCCTTCAATTTCTTTGCTGATTATCCGGCTTTATATTGGCTCATTCTTGGTTTGATCTTTCTCTAGGAGAGGTTTATCCAAGTCAGAAATTGATTTTCTTAAGGAGGTAATAAGATATATGATGGCCTTTTTTTTTTCCAGTTTTCGTCTTTTTCTGTACTCAGCATTTTCTTTGCCTCCTTTTTGGTCCTGATGGCATCATGGTTTGCATGCATTACTAGTTATATCATTTTGCTAGTTTGTGATGTTTTACTGGATATTTAATGCCCAGCCTGGTTGTTTAGATTGTACTTACCATCCCTAAATGTTACAGAACAAGAGCCTACAAGCGAAAGTTCTTCAGACTGGAGGCATTCCTGAAAGCTATCTTGGTAAGAAGTATTCTTTTCTACGCCTTCCAGTACTTTTTCGTTGTAGTAAACTTTTTCTCTGTGATGCTTTAACTCGAAATAATTTACTCAATTTATAATCATCACCAGTTCTTGACAAGATAAAGAGGCCTCTGTATGAAAAGCATCCAATGGCAAAATTTGCTTGGACAGTGACCGAAGACACTGACACGGTTAGTATTTTTGTTATTGCTCAGATTGGTAGAACACTGCAGTTGCTACCTAGAATTGGTACGCAGAAGATGTAGTTTCTCTTTCTGACTTGTAAATTGATGAAGATTTGGTCAACTGGGTAATGGCAGTTTCTTCATGATAGTTTTACAATTTGAATGTATGACCTAATTTGACAAACACCCTGCCTTTAAGAGGAAAAGCAATTTCGAATACTTAATTAGCAATGTCCATCTAATTGGGATGCTAGATATCTATTTATATTCTAAGGGAGAAGTATAGTTTCGGTGTCCACCAAAAATTACCCATAACTCTTCTACCATTCTATGAAATGATTTACCATGTCATTGTTTAAGGGCAAAGAAGCAGATGGATTTTTGTGCAGTTACCAGAATTTAGGAGGCTCTAAAATAACAATAGTGACTGGTCCCACCAAAAAAAAAATTCTAATTCAATAGGAGTGTTCTAACTCAGAGGAAAGAACAGTTCTCTCTCTCTCTCTCCCGTGCGCGTGCGTGCCCGCGCGCTTGTGCCTGTGTAAGCTTTCTGCATTCACTACACTACCCTTGCTCAAATTAGTCCCTCATCTTTTCTCCCTATCACATTTGGTATTGATGGATTATGTTTTCTTATTTTTTGAAAAAAAAACTTATTTAGGTGATATATTTTTCTTATTCTCGCACAGACTTAATAATCATGAAGATTATTTAAGCATGGCTATTAGAAATCTATTTGTATGACTGTGAATATGATATAAATAAAAATTACTATGCATGGACAATTAATTAATAGGAGATAGATCACAATATCATGCAATTAAATAGAAATTTTATTTTACACTAAACCATGAAAAAGCAACTACATCCGTGCTTGAGTACTGGTGCATTTGTTGCAGAAGAAGCCTATTTTCTGATATTTAGTTATGCAGGCTGAATGGTATAACATTTGTCAAGATGCACTCGATAATGTCGAGAAGCGGTATCAAGTGAAGGACATTGCAGACATGATTGAGAGCAAAGTTCTGCAGGTAACCAGTCTGGCTTTTTGTTCATAGTGCATGGATATTTGTTATAGAAACCATCTGAAAGACTTGGCTTTGAAGGTATGCTTCATTGTTAACAACATTCTTCTGTTCTGTGATTTCAGTTATTGAAAGGAAAGAATCAGGAGCTTGTACTTGACAAGGAATTAAAATCTGGAGATCTCAGTGGTCTTCATCCTGAATGTCTTACAGATGCATGGATTGGAAAGGACAGGTTGGAGTCTCTATTCTCTCTTTCTGTGGATTTGAAGGGGGTCATGTTAGCCCTTGATGCTTATAAACTCTTTATCAGGTGGGCATTCATTGATTTAAGTGCAGGCCCTTTCTCATGGGGCCCTGCTGTTGGTGGAGAAGGTGTGCGTACAGAATATACTCTACCAAATGTGACAAGAACAATTGGTGCTGTTGCAGGTAGATAGGGTGATTTTTCGTATCTCGTTTTATCTATCCAAAACAACTCAGATTTCTGTTGGCAATGGTAATATGGTCTAATTATCATGGAGGTACTACTGATATAGCTTTTGGGCATCTACAAATGTTTTTACAGCAATTGGAAGTATTGGACTGGATATTTGCCTTGTATATACATTTCATGGCAATATATTTGGGGAAGTGGCATGGTGAAAGCTTTTGTTTTCTGTTTTTTTTTTTTATGTTGTTGTATAATTGTAATTCTTTATAAAAATGGAACTGCTCCAGTATAACAAAATGTACAAGAACGAGGGATATCTTGGATTTCTGAATATAGAAGAACCAGGGATTTCTTGGATTTGTGTTATTATTGGTTCACAAAGTAGATTAATGAGAACTGTCATGCTGGCTCTTTATAGTAGCATCATATTGTTGTTATATTCTGATAAAGTTAGTCCTATTAAATCTGGTACTTGTAAACTGAATAAACAAAAAAAAAAAGTAACTTTATTCATGGTTTTCTTTTGGGAACCAGAAATCTCAGAAGAAGAAGCTGAAGATCGTTTGCAAGATGCAATTCAGGAAAAGTTTGCCGTCTTTGGGGATGTAAGCTTATCCAAAACTGATTAATCTATTGTCTATCTGCCCTTTACATATAATTGGAACTTGAAATTAGTTGAGTGAAATCAGCAAAATCTTGTAGACTGCCTTCCTTCCGTATAAAGATTTGGATTAGTCATTTAATTTGGAGTGTAATGTTTTGTCATTTCTGTGATATTCTGTTTGAAAGAAGTTGATCTTTGTAGGTGGACTTAGGAAAGAGTTAGATAATTCCTGTGCAGGCAACTAGATTTCATAATCTGGTGGGAAATTTGGTTGTGATATGGTTTAATCTTCCTTTGGTGTCCTGTTAGAATTTCAAGGACTACAATTGTTTTTTTTTTTTTTGCTTATAATTGAAGAGATATTCACTTTGGGGCATTCATGTAATGTGACCTATTTATAGAAAGAGCTCAGCAAAAAAAAAAAAAAAAAGGCAGCTCGATTACAAGAAAAATAATGCAATAGCATTTACCTCCTAGAGTGAATCCCCACTTTATCAAAGCTGTAAAACGATGAGTGCTTGGATAGAATATTCTCCCTTCAAAAGCTCTCATTTTGTTCTGTCCAAGAGCTGGCAACTTTTGACACGAACTGTCTACATGAGATGCGTGAATAACTTTTTTCTCTACTCTCCATCCCATAATAAACAAAAATGGAAGGGAAGAGGGAGAAAGCGCTTTAACCATGAAGGGAAAAGGGGAGTCTTAGGAGAATTGGGGAGGAGAATTCTCACTTCTCTCCAAAATACAAATGTTAACAAATCTGCTGTTAGAGAATTGAGGAGTTAGTGACAAGGTTCTCCCTAAAGACAAATGTTAATAGATCTACTGTTAGAGAATAGAGGAGAGTGAAAATTAGACGATGGAGAAGGATTTTGACTTCTCATAGTTCTGCTTGCTGAACTCTTGGGATAAGTATGAGAGAGTCTGCATCTCAACTTTGCGCTGCACTGTTGCAGTACAAGTCTTTGGCGTGCGAATTACATATCCATCCCATGTCAGTAGTTGTAATTCCTTTAGGATTATTCCATATGGTGAATTCTAACTTAACCTGCTATTATTTGTCAACTGGATGTCTGCTTAGCAAAAATGTTTGATTTACTGTAGATCTTTTTATTTATTAAAGGAGTCTTTCAAGAGTGTTTGAAAGACATACTAAAGCTAGTAACTACTCTTCTCCACCAACAGCCTAACTTCACTGATCCTTTCTCTTAAGCAGTTTGTATCACCAATTATAATCGATCAATTACATGTTTTATATCAGCAGTTTGGGGCAATTTCACTTTTAGTGTAATGGATCTACTTTATTTTGGCACGATGGCAGTTTTGGTGAGCATAGGAGGCCACCACTGGAAGTATGACTTCCATGTTTTGATGGTATTTGATGTTAGATTCTCATACCAGGTGGAAAAAATATGTAATTTCTAAGTAGTTGGTGAAGCATGTCCATGGATTCCTTGATTATATTTTTCATGATCTCATTTCTAATACTTACATAGCTTGGTTTCAATGGCAGAAGGACCATCAGGCCATTGATATTCTTCTAGCAGAGATCGACATATATGAGCTTTTTGCATTCAAACATTGTCAGGGAAGAAAAGTTAAGCTTGCCCTTTGTGAAGGTATAGCCTCGTTTCTAGGCTTCTTCTGTAATGTTCTCTATTTGTTGCAATGGAATGGTAGTGATTGTGAAGATGACTAAGTTTTTGGGTTTTCGAACATCTGTCAAATTTATAGTAATAGTTTTGCTTCTGTCTATCCAGTGGCTAAGTTTTTTCAGATGCCGATGTTTTTTCAGTAAAGTGAATGTGTGATGCCACGCAGATATTATAAGAAAAAATCATTTTCTTCCAAATTTTCTTCCAACTTTTTTCTGGGAGACTGCTAAAGATAGTCAGATGACTTGATATCCCTCTTATTAAAAACATATTCAGCTGTCCGAAGTGATATGAAATAGTTCCAATTTGCACGGGCGTTAATGTACCATAAGGTAGTGAATTTGTGTGGTGCTCATGTTGTCATGTCAGAACTTGACCAGAGAATGGAGGATTTAAAAAGTGAACTCCAAGAATTTGAAGGGGAAGACAAAGATGAAAGTCATCGGAGAAAGGCCATTGAAGCGTTGAAACGAATGGAAAGCTGGAATTTGTTCAGTGATACTCATGAGGTATACATTTTGCTTCTTTTCTTAGAAATAGTATTCTTTTCTCAGTCAACATACACGCCATCTTCTTATTTACAGAACTTTCTAAGCAATGTTTGTGCTTTTGGATAGATGAGTTTGAATCATAATGGCCTCTCAAAATTTATTCTTCTCGGTTTAGGACTTTCAAAACTACACAGTTGCTCGCGATACTTTTCTGGCTCATTTAGGGGCGACCTTGTGGGGATCGATGAGACACATCATATCACCTTCCATGGCTGATGGAGCATTCCATTACTATGAAAAGATATCCTTTCAGCTTTTCTTCATAACCCAGGAGGTATTGCTATATATTTCACCTTTGGATATATTAGGTGAAGTTCATCACAGATAGCAACTCACATGCTCTGTAACTCTCTTTGGATGCAGAAGGTTAGACACGTTAAGAAGTTACCGGTTGATCTGACAGCTCTCATGGACGGACTGTCCTCTTTACTTTTACCCTCTCAGAAACCTATGTTCAGTCAGCACATGTATGCTTGGGGTTATTCTGTAATTTCCAGTTTCTTTCTTAATAAACATGGTTTTGTTTCTTCTTTGGTATACCTAAGAAGCATTAAGTTGGTGGATCTATTAGGATAGCTGCTTAACCTTTCAAATACATGTAGTTACTTGGTTTGTTTTAATGTATGTAGGTTACCACTTTCTGAGGATCCTGCTTTAGCAATGGCTTTTTCCGTGGCTCGCAGAGCAGCAGCGGTCCCATATTTACTCGTTAATGGGACATACAGGAAATCTGTTCGGTCCTATCTTGATTCCTCAATTTTGCAGTATCAGTTACAGAGGCTACATGATCAAGGTTCCCTTAAAGGTCTTTTGTTTCCTTCTCTCTCTCTCTCTCTCTCTCTATATATATATATATATATATCTCATGGACATGCGCTCTTGTACAATATTAGGTTAAAATATTTGTATACTTCTTGATTGTCCCCGTGGAATAGTATTTCTGACTTCTCATGCTGCAAGTGTTATCAGTAGTGTAGTATGGATGTTGTTGTCTTGTCTTTCTTTGCTTAGGTGGTCTATCTTGGTACTTCTATATCCTTTGCTGGATAGGATTTACGTGAGTTCATGAATTAATATGGATTCGGAAGGTTTAGTGTTGGAGAATTCTCTATGTGCATGTATTCAACAAGAATTAAGAAGTCTCAAGTTTTGCTTTGAGAATTACACAAAGCTAGATTAGAACCATGTCTGTTGAGGTCCATCTTCAAGGAAAGATACTTTACTGCTCATATCTTATCCTGGTAATGATGCCAGTTCCTGCTTTTATGCAGGGATGCACGCCCACAGCAGGTCAACCCTGGAAGTTCCAATATTTTGGTTTATTCATAGCGATCCTTTGTTGGTTGACAAGCATTATCAGGCAAAAGCTCTTTCTGATATGATTATAGTAGTACAATCAGACTCACCATCGTGGGAGAGCAATCTGCAATGCAATGGGGAGTCGTTGTTGTGGGATTTGAGGTATGATGTTTTGCCTTTGGCCTTTTCATTAAGTTATATCTGATGGTTGACATCTAGGCTTCCCACATGGGCATTTTTTTGCAGCCGAGTTATCTCTACTTCTGCACTCAATCATTTGACATTTTCATGGTAGTGGGACTTATTTGGATTTTCTAGTGTTTGATGTTAAGCTTCTTAGTCACCCATCCTTCCAAAAACTTTATGTTTAGGTTGAGTCAATTCTGTCAAATTGGTAAAACTCGGTAATACGTGATAAGAAAATTAGGTTTGTACAGATTACCCTTGCATACTGAATGGTGTTTTATGGTAAGAAATTTTAAGGTGTTTGCTGTTCCGGATTTTCTCGTATGATTAAATCTTTATAGGATTTACTATATAACCAAGGATGGGGCTGGTTTTAATGCTTTATATATTTCTATGTTTGATTCCGTTCAGGAGGCCAGTGAAAGCTGCCTTATCAGCTGCTGCAGAACATCTTGCTGGTTTGCTTCCTCTTCATTTGGTTTACAGTCAGGTCCATGAAACTGCAGTTGAGGTATGCCTCAAGTCTGATGTGTAATGATGTGCAACTGTCTGTTTTCCTACATTGTCACCATTCTGTATGACGCTTTCATTTCTGGAGCTTCTTATCTGAGAAATGGACATTTATTTGTGCAATCGGGCATCACTTTGCTTCATGAGATTAACTGTTGATGTTAACTTATTTTTACAGTTCTTGAGTTTGCTAATGTTATTCTACTATATCATTTGTGGAATCTGCGCTATTGCTTGCTTGTGCAACAAACATGCTTGATATGGGCATGCATTCATTGATTTTTTTGGGGGGCCAAATGTGCTTGAGATTACGTGCATACTCATGAAAACATGGGATGAGTCCTTCCCATGCATAGATGATGGGGTCTAGTTGTGCATGCTCATCATTTTTTTATTTAACATGGCAATGTCTGTTGAGATGTTGATTATCGTATTATGAACAGCGAAATTTGAAATGGTATAATTCTTGAAGAAACTTGATATTGCAGCAGGCAGCTTTATGTTTTTATAATCCGTGATATGTTATAATCTGGCATGTTGTTACTGTACTTTTTGTATTTAGATTATCCCAGCAGGACACTTGCGGTTTGGCATGTTAAGGTTGTTTGTTTATGTGATGTATCCGCTTTGACAGGATTGGGTTTGGTCGGTGGGATGTAATCCCTTTTCTGTGACTTCTCAAGGTTGGCACATTTCAAGGTTTCATTCTGATAGCTTTGCTCGGAGCTATATCATTACAGCACTCGAGGAATCAATACAGCTCGTCAACTCAGCCATCCACCTTTTAGTTGTTGAGCGGACCAGTATCCTTGCCATTAGATGTTTACATCTGAATATTGCTAAAATTTAATATAGCCCCTTCTAATGTGCTTTTATGCTAGAAATTCTTTTAGTGGCTTTCGAATTATTTCCTCTAATTTTTATTTTCTTGGGACTTGCACTTGAACGAATCTTCAAATACATGGACCATATAGCTCATTTGGGTTGGATATGTTCTGAGAAGACTATTATCTTCTTAACCAATTTTCTTGAATAAAGATAGCTGATATCAGATGGGAGTTACAGCTGTTCATCACAAACTTTATGATTGCTTTTATTTCAGTTGGAACCTCGTCTTTGGTTATTTTTAGTAATGTTGATCCGAAATTACTATTAAGAGAGACTTAACGAAATATAGCTGAAAAGACGTATAAAATATTTCAGTCACAGGAGCGCGAGCTAGTGAATAAATACAATACCCTGGTTGGGCTTTGGAAAAGGGTCAGTATGTCTTTCTCTCCTCTTGCTAATCAATTCCCATTTGAAGTCTGTCCCCGTCGAAGTGTATTTGATGAAATTCCTACTTTACATTGACGTGGACAAATTATCTTCTTTCTCAGATCTCAACAAGTATTGGAGAATTGCGCTATACAGATGCTTTGAGATTTCTGAATACGCTGGAGGATGCATCTAAAGGGTGAGGCGACTAACAACTGGTTATTTCCACTGGGCTATTTGTAGGGTAACTAGTAATATGGGTGCATAATTAGATAGCAAATGGGTATAATAGGACAAGCCTGTGGAGATAAGTAGAGACGTGAGGCACTGTTGCTGTTTGCGGGATGTGAAAGGGATTCTTTAATGCAATTATTTTCAAAATTGTGTGGAGATCTTTTAGTGGAAGCATTTGATGGGATTTTCTGGCTGGCAAAACGAAATATGCTCTAGTATAATTGCAGAAGTTTAGTTGGTATCGGACCTGGAGTCTACAGAAATGCCCTAGACTGGGAATTGAACACTGTCCAATTGTATCTCATGCTTTAGGCTCCACAGGGATTAATTGAAGGATAGGATAAAGTGTTGTATGGTTACAAAGTAGAGGTGGGAGCTTTGTTTTATCAGTTTATAGATTTGCTGGAAAACTATCAGCTGGGGTAGCTCTTTGATCTGGGAGAGTGCTTCGGAGACCGTTGGATGTTCTTCATCTGTTATTCCTGATTATGAGTTTTCATGATTTGCTGGAAAACTCATTAGCTTTAGGATATGCAACTCTAGTCTGCTATCATGATGATGATGAGCACCTTATTGCCCTTGTAGATTTGAGTGCAAAAGAAGCAGAAACTAGTTCAGCGGCATGTTTATTAGCTGCTGTTATGAGGGGCTCATATGAGCCATTGCTATAGTAATTTAAGTCTCGAGTCTGAAGCTCGCGCAGTCAGTATAGAGGTAATTCTGTGCCAGCTCAGACTGCTAATTGATTGGACTACATGTATCCCAAGATGCAAATGCAACATTTGCACTTTGCAGGATGGTATTGGGGAAAGAATGTACCTTTGGGAAATATTAATAGCCGGATTCACTGAAAGCAGATTATGACGAGTGGCTTTTGCTGCACCACAATTTTTTTTTTTTTTGCTTTTTCCATCTCTAACTGTCGTTGCCTCAGTGCTCTTTTTTGCCTTGTCACATATTAGGAAGGGAAAAGCATCACGATCCTCAACTTAAATATAGGAATTGTAATTTTACTATGGCTGTATCGGAATTTACTGTATTTATTTTATGGTGTTTATGATCAGTTTCCTAACTAGCTGTTTATTTGCTCTCTAGGTTTGCTCATCAAGTGAATTCAACCATTGCGCTGCTTCATCCCGTCCAGTGCATGCGAGAAAGGAAATTGCATGTCATCTTCGATATGAGTACGGTCCCAGCTTTTCTCGTTGTCGCAGGAGTTCTCCTCATTTTGTTAAAGCCAAAAAGACCAAAGCCGAAAATCAATTGAGGGCGCCACCGAACGGACTCTCTGGACGGTCCTAGGTGGTGCATACTCTCTGGCAACTGCTAACTGCAAAATTCGAATTGCTAAGTCAAGAGGGAAGTTACGTCTGCAAGTCGAGGCCAGTTTTTCCGTGGCAAGTACAGCCTTTGCGTGCGCCAGCCGTCTGGTCGAGTTTTTGTGAACCGCCATTCATCATAAAGTTGAAAATCGATTGTGAGCATAGAGTTGTCAACAGGAAAACCGACTGATTTAGCACTTAAATTGTAGGGTTAAGAGAGGAGGACACCATCTGCATTTTTTTAGAATTTTAAGTTTTGACTGTAATTTGTATGACAATTTTGTTATTGCAAGGGTAAACTCTGATGTTGGTCCTCTAATTTGTACTGCTCTTTTCTTTTTTGTAATGATTGAATCTGCTAATTCGCTCTGTTCATGCAATTTGATTGTTTGATCCCCGCTAGGTAATTGGCTCCGATATAATATGCAAGCTACAACTTGGAATCATTGAATGATATTGCGGAATCTCTTTTAGAAACACGGGGATAGGTAATGCCTAATACCTAGCGTGATTAGCGCGGCCAATAAATATTTAATCGAGTGCTCAAAAAGTCTTGAATACTTCGTCTTAAGCTGGCGATGTGCATCTTTGTGTCGTGGATTGAGTCATTTCAAAGTCATGTTGTGTCGAATTTGGGTCCAAACCTGAAAATGATGCATTTATCAGACGTGCCATCGTGATACGTTTAACTGAGCAAGTTATACGACCTGGCATTATTAGACGCGGATAAGCATGTTTAAATTGGAAATTCTTTTGCATATGGGGGTGTCTAGAAGCATGCCTAAAACAAAGTCTAAACGTGTCCAAATTTATCTAAATACATTCATAATTGACACGATGATATGTTAGTATGCGCAATCTCATTTATCTACGTGTCACAGAACGAGTTAAAAGTGTCATCTCGTACGCGACATGTTCATTTCCGTGCATAAACAAGTTGACCCATTCACGACACCAAAACCCGTTTAACCTTGATACAATAAGTGCACTTTGACTATGCATCGGGTTACATGCCGTGCAAACGGATCGCGCCGAAAATTGTCAGCTTGATCATGTAAAACAAGGTCAAAGCAAAGAATAAAGAGCAAGCAAAAGAAAAGTTTGGGAACCATCACAGTCTCTCTCACTTGATGTAGATGAATCTAGAAACAAGTATTTTTTCAAAAAGAAATATTTCAAAATCTACCCCGCAAATTTGGAGATCTCTCTTTTTTGACCCCTTTCTCGTTATTTATAATAATGACGCTCCCCGCATAAGGGGAACGAAGCTCCAGTTGACGAAGACCGCCCCGATCAGAGCCAGAAGCTTCCGGAGACCCTAGACACCGCGTCGAACCGACCGTCTCCGCCGCCGCCGTCGTCGCCTTCCGGGGTGGTTGGCGGGCGCGTTCTGGTCGCCGGCGAGAGCTTGCTCGGGTTGATCCCGCCCCGCATTCGCAGTGCAGCAGGAGGTACGTGCTTTGTTCCGTTCCTTCGAGATCTGGTTTCGGTTTCGGTTTCGGTTTCGGCCGGTGCGCGCGGTGGGTGAAACGGTTCCGGTGGACAGGGCGGAGGCAGGTGGGGGGGTCCGAGATGGAGGGAGCGTCGGTGGAGGAGGAGAGGAAGAAGTCGGAGTCGGAGTCGGTGTCGTACAGGTATTGGGTGAGGGAGGCCTCAGGGGATGCCGCGCCCGCCCCGGTCCCTCGGAAGCTCTCCCCCCAGGACGTGGTGCCTGATTCCCAGTCGCCGGCGACTCTCGGTTCCGTGTGGAATAAGGTGGTGGTTGGATCCGTCTTCGTTTCTGTCTCCGATTGGCTGTTGCTGTTGAGATATGGAATTGTGACGCTTAGGATGATGGGTAGTGTGGGTGGTTCTTCGTTTCTCTTTTGGCTGAAAAAGTTTTGTGGCTTCTGTTTTTGGGTCAGGCTGGGACTTGGGAGGAGAAAAACCTCAACAAATGGGCTTCAAATAGGATTCAGGTCAGTTTGCTGCTTGCAGTTTTTATTATCCCACTCTTCAGATAAGATGTTGCATATTTTCTTGGAATGAGCTTCTGGGGAATTTTTGAATTCTGGTGGGTCAGTACTTATTTCTAAGCATTATAAAAGGTCTGAAAAGTTCAAGATGGAGTGTGTCCAAAGAGCGATGACCCACTGTGATGCCCATTATCTTTCTATGGAAATTCCATGTATTGGTAATGACGTTTATTTGCGGTTCCGTTGCAGGAGTTGCTCACATCGATCGGCTCGCTGGAGTTCAGTGGTGGCTGTGCAGAAATATCAGAAGTGTCGAACTGCAGTGGTGATGTGAGTTCTCACGACTTCGCGCCTGATCAAATATAGGGAAAATGAGGTGTAAAAAATATGTGGAAGCTTAGCTGACACATTATAATCTCTCATGTCGTTATCATAGTTAAAAAATATGTGGAAGCTTCTTGCCAATATGTCAAGATTCTTCCAAGAAAAAAGATGTATGGTGTGGTTCTTGAGGATTGAACTGGGTAAACAGGCTAGTTAGTCATCAGGGGTAAAGCCAAGCCAATAGAAATGCGTTCTTTCCCTGGCTCAATATTGTACCTGCTAATATACTGATCAAATATGGGGAAAATGAGGAGTTAAGAAGAACGCCGGTCCATTCCCAATAGGGCCTTTTGTTGTCACCTTATAGCTGGTGCTCTTATTTTGTTCTCAAGTAGGATTTCTGGAAATGTTGAAACAACTATTGAAATGATTTTCCATAGTGGCTGATGTACTCATGATAGAATAATGCTAGAGATCTAGACTTTATACAATATATAATGATGATGGCTTCTCTTGAAGTTGGCCGTATTAAGTTAGTCTATGTCAGTATGTGTATTGGGGGAAACATCAACATCTACTACTCTCTAGCAATGAGATTATCCGTATTTTAGACTCTTAAATTTTGTTTAAGTCTGTCTCACTCGTATGAATCTGGTGTTACTTGTAAAAGCTTTTAGGGAGGTTTAAAAGGAGATCAGAGCTCATTGAGTCAACCTTCAGATTGATAAAAATTGGCTGACAAGCGTGCTAAAAGAAACAGGAAGTTTATGTGACCAATCTTCTTCATTTTGGACTAGCAGAAGAGGCTAGTGGCATACCTGTTCCTCATCATCAGTTTCGTTCTTAATCCAGCTTTCTACTTGTTTAACATCCTTATACGGTTGCATGGGATCATTGCGCTTGAAGTTGGGATAACTTTTACAAACTGGAATTGGGAGGCCCTACTTTACTGTGGTACAAAACATAAATAAGATGAAAGAAAAATATTAGAACTCATCTGTCATGTGGATTGAGATGTAGCCTGAGAATAACTTTCTTATTTTAAATCCATTTGCATAATTGTCTCTAACTAGGATTTTGCTCTAATTTGCCACCATATCATGCCAATACCTTTTCACGGTGGACTCTGTATGGTGTATGTATTTTCTTGGCATAAGAGGACCTTGGCAATTGCTTGTTCATATTGATGGGGTTCTTCTTTTTCATACAAATTACTAAGGCAGGACTGCTGCTTATCTTTATTTTGATTGTGGTTTCGTTTAGTTAATACTTCACCTCTAGTAGTTAATATAGAGGACGAAAATAAATGGTACCAGATATTGATGGTATATATTGTCTTGCCTCAAAGAGAACTGGTAAAATATTGGTGTAATGTAAAAGGATCTACAAATAATGTTTTATGGGTTTGCCTCGACTATGTTACAGTTGAGAAAAACTCGCATGTTAAATTAGTATCATGTAAAAATAAAGTGTAATACTTGGATGTTGTTACTGTTTCCTACCATCTAATGAGAAAATAGAAAGGATGTAATATATTTTTATATAGGAAAATGTATGTTACCACCAAATTTTTTGGTGAACTAGTGGCAAACAACATGTTAAAGAACCTTTACTAGACTACGGACAGCTCATGTTTTGTAATTGTATGAATGGTCTTACTACAAGAAAACTAGTACTTTTTGCAAAGATAAGAAAGTGTGCGAGTTGTAGAAGCTTTGTTGGAAAGGATAATAACGTGTATTTTATATAAAAGTGTGGGAATTTTAGTAACAATGTACTTAACCATTGCTACTATTGTTTTTGTCTAACTGATCAGGCATTTCTGGTGACTGTGCGGAACAAGAAAAGGGTTGGTTACACTTACGAGCTGAATTTAAAAATCAAGGGTTTGGCTCCTGCATCTCTCTCTTTTACATTCACATTCACATGCACCGCCACCCCACACACCCACTCACACCTGCACATGCATGCATGTATTCATGCACATTTTGTGTGCAGAAAGACAAATTTTAATGAGATTGACTGGCCGCTTCCATGTATTTTAGGAGAATGGACTATTAGGGAGGAGAAAAAGAAAGTTAAAGGTCATTTGGAGATCCCTGAGTTTTCATTTGGTGAACTAGATGACCTGCAGGTACATTCTTCGATCATATTGGGATCTTTTAGTTGTATGGGTTAATAGTTATGCTTGTATGAATAGACATCTGTGGATGGCCAAAACTATAGAAATGCACATTTCTTGCAGAGAATAAAATGATGATGCGTTTATATCGGAAAAATGTATTGATAACGGCTCTAAGGATGAGTTGAGCATGAGGGATGTGTTTAACATTAAGAGTTTGCAACACCTAGCTGGGTTGTGGTGCTTATATGTCAGTAGCCATATTATGGTCTTTATCGATAACCCAGCATGCTCTGGTAGAACAAAATCTTTGATTTTACTCATCTCTTAGGCAATCATGTCCACTTTTGGTTTATAGGTATGTCTGTCTTCAAGTCCAAGTGTTTGGGTAATTTGACTTGTTGATTTCTTCTTTGTTTCAACAATTTGGTCATTTGCGGGTGGACAGATCTTTAACTATTTATTGTCCTTCAATACTGTAGATAAATGTCAGACTAAGTGAAGAAAAGGATTTTCTGCAACAAGATAAGCAGCAGATCTGTAAGGACTTGAAACAATTTTTGCATCCAGTCCGGGAGAAACTGCATCAATTCGAGGAGGAATTGAAAGATAGTTAGTGTTATGCTACTCACGGAAAAATAGTTAGTGCTACGGTGATTCGACATTTTCTGGAAGCCGATAATTTGGCTTACAGTAAAGTGCACACCTGTGTCTCATTATTTATGATAATTTCGGATCCATTGTCTCCGACTCATAATGGTTTCGGACGCATCCAGCGCGCGGAAGACTCTTGTAATGCTTACATGTACTATAATTTTTCGACAATTGTGGCTCAGATAACTTAAATGTTTTAAGCTGTTGTATCCCCTTTATCAATTTAACCTGCAGTACCTTCCATGGTTGGTGAAATCAAGTGCTCAAGTTCACAGCTTTTGACCGAGGGGCTGTATCACCTTGTGCATTTTACTCTGTTGTGAACTTGAATTATTCTCACCAAGAGTAGTCTACTCAGAATGCGGAGCGAGCCGGAGGGCTCTCTGACATCGTTCTTGTTCAACAAGAACGGTGAAGTGATCCCTTGAGCAGATATCAGATGTCGGGTTTGTTTGAATTGGCCCTTTCGCGAGAGCAATCACAGTCCTCATCCATGGCTCTTGCCGACCGCAAACCTGAAAACACTTGGTGGGGAGAGGATCTTCAGAATCTCGGATGACGAGGCTCATTTTGATGTCATAACATTTCAATTGATGAGTTAAGTGTCAGTCTACGCCCATCTATTCTGTAAGCGGATTATCTTTCGCTTTCTGTATCCCTTCAAATAGAAAAAAATGGCGTTCTTGCTTTCCTTGAGCCAGCATCATTAGGAACCTCTCTTAGAGGCTGACGAGTTGAAGCCGAAGGTGAACCGCTCGCCAGCAGAAGAGAGAAACCAGCGCCAGCAGAAGAGAGAAACCAGCGGTGATCATCTCAACGGCCACGGGACGAGCCGGCTCTACTGGAGCAAAGCTCCGTCAGATGTGACCTCGTTTTTGGAGAGGAAGTTATTGACAAATGTTCGACATATAATGGGAATTGGTTTGATTCTCCCTCTGTTCGCAAAATTTCCCAAAAGCTTAAGGTCTCTTCTTGCTCGTAATCGCCATCTGCAATCCTGGAAACTCCCGAGGACGAAGTGATGAACTTGATTTCGAGTTGCAGATCCAATCCTCACTCTTTATTTTTACTATGACTTTAGCCCAGAAGCAACTACATAACTCAGAACCAATTAACCTGCAATTTTTCATTTGAAGATGAACTGGGATTGGCGTTTGAATTAGCCCAATTTAGTCCAATTCGTTAATTTGGGGCAACGAAAAGGCTAAACGACACCGTTTCCGCATTTTTTGATGACATTATCTTCTAGGCAATACACGTCGAATGATTTTAGGGAAAATTTCAAATAATGACTCGAAGTAGGATGATATTCTTAAAAAGAGGGGCTTAAAGTGGAATCGTTTTCGATCGGCCAAATTCAAATTGTCCTTAATCAAACGACCCAAAGACAAGTAAGAAGAATCAATGCTATCCTACTCTTCTCACCAGCCTCCTTCACCTTCTTCCGCCTCTAGCTGCCGACGTCCTCCATTTAACTTCTATATTCCACCTATTTCGTCCGTAGTTGCGACGGCGTTGCATTGCACTATTGCTTGATGTATAAGGGCCACCTTGATTTCCGCGGTACGGTCCACCTTGATTTCCGCGGCGAGACCTAGCTCCACCACCAGCTAGCATGCATTGCACTATTGCTTGATGTATAAGGGCCACATGGCCACTGCCACGCTAAACAATATGCTCTCCAAGGTGGAGTTCCATACGCAGTGCTACGGGAACCGCCCAATTGCAAGGTGGGCTAGGACCGTAGTCCATGGAGCCTGCCCGTCTGGTCTAGGGAAGCCCTCGAGCAAGACCTCTGCAGGGTCCGTGTAGTCACGTAGGAACTCAACCTAGCCCTTCGGTGGTGGTTGTCGTGGGGAGCACAGAAAGCGCTGCTCGCTCAGTCTAGCGCATTGGCCATCTCCTTCACCTGGTCCTCAACGAAGCTCCCCATGCTCCCGAAGCATAGGAAAACCACCGATAAAGCGGTTGGTCGTTGAGCCACTCCATGAAGTCATCGCCTCGGCGGCCACCATTAGCCTTCTTTTTAGTCTCGCCCTTCATATTCAATATGGGCCCCCAAAGGGTACACCGCGGGCGCCCTGCGGCCAACCAGGGACCTCACTGCATGCTGTTCGAGCTCGTTGAAGTGCCCTCGGTAGCTCTCACCCTCCCGGCGTGCTCCAAGAATGGTCGGACCGCCTCCTTCATCCAAACCATGGAGAGTAGGACCTTGGCTGGCAACCGGTTTGCGAAACTTGGGATGTCCAGCTCGCCAGTAAGTCCTTGAATTCGGTTATGTCATGTGGTGCTCATCTTGGAGTGATCGGAGGTGTAGCATCACGCCAAGGAACGCGGTGCTCGACGTGAAGAAGGCGTAGGACGGGACTCCAAACACATTTGCCAGGTCGATCATGGATTTCAAATAAAGACCTAAAATGGTCATGTCAATCTTAAAAGAAGGGCTTGACTTCACAATGGTATTTTCATCCTTTATTTTTTCGATTTTTTTTTCCTTTTTCTTCCTTTTTTTCATTTTCGCCAATGGCCAATCTTAGGCAATGGCCGGGCCATTGACGATACTCGGAGAGGGCCGGGCGAGGCCGCCCACAAAAGCTACAGGCGAAGGTTGGCCTCGCCTAGGCGACCCTTGCTAGCTATAGGCAAAGCCAGCCCTCAAGTCCTCTCGTTAATTTTGTCTAATTCGACTAACAGAAAATGCTGACGTTGTTATTTTTAATATTTTATCTCTCTCACGTGGCGTTCTAAGTGTCATTAAGGTTAACTAAAGTACCAAAACGACGTTGTTTTGATATGAATCCTAATTTTTACACAAAATCTTAATTAAATTACGTAAAAATATCCAAAATTTTTCCATAAAAAGACAAACTCAAAAAAGAAAAGAAGGCTATAAAAAAGAAAAGAAAACACACAAAACAAAAAAAACCCAGGCCTTCGCCTGTATTTGTTTTTCTTTTTAAAATTTTTTAGCTTTCTTAATTTTTAATCTAATTTACTAAAATTTAGGCTAAAATTAACTTTGGACGAAATTGCCATTGACCGGCTGGAGTATTTAGCCGTGGCTAGCAAGGTCAGGCCCTTATTTGAAATTGCTGTGGCCACTACATACCCTTTTTTGAAACAATATCCATTTTAGACCCTTATTAAAGAAAATGAGGACACTTCAAGCTCTTATTTGGAATTTTCTCTAAAAGCAATGATGAGGCTCGAGGCTTTTTTGGATTATTATTTACGTTGTGTTTCTTGCGGCATTTTTGTCATTTTCTTATTTGCTTTGGATGATTTTATTTAGGGCAAATACCACAACAAATCCCAAACTAGGCTCATTGTAACACAAATGACCCGATTTTTTTCACAATAAATCCTAAACTTACTATGACACAAATAAGTCATATATACCCTCTATTTCGATTCCATCCAAGGGGCATTTGTCACACCGATATAAGTTCGGGATTTTTAATGACAAAAAAAAGTTTGTGGTATTTGTGTTACAACAGGCAAGTTTATGATTTTTAGTAACACAAAAGAAAGTTCGGGAATCACGGTGGGCACAGTTTGAGATTTCTGGTGGTATTATCACCAAAAACCTCAAACTAGTACATTTATGATAAATTTATCCCAAACTAATTTTTTGACCACAAAAAACCTCAAACTGGTATACACGTGACAAATTTATCCTTAGTTAGTTTTTGTTAAATTTTACTGTCAAATTGCTTTATTAAATGACATGCAGCAGTTAACGGATGTATTAGTTTTGGGTTTTACTCTTCGTTTATTACAGATATACGGTTTGTAATTTTTTGTGGTATTAATCTAATTTAATGAAAATTAACATAGGGTAAATTTATTACAAATGTATCAGTTAGGGTTTTTGGTGGTAAAAAATTAGTTTAGGGTAAATTTGTCACTAATGTACCAGTTTGGTGTTTTTGGTGGTCAAAAAATTAATTTTGGGTAAATTTATCACGGTGGAGTTTTTCGTGGTATTAACCCTTTATTTTATTGGATCACACTTTTTCTACTCCTCTCTTGGTTCTCACACTCCCTTTTACATTGTAGGGGTGAGCGGTTCCCGGTCCAGTCCGGTCCAACCCAAGAACCGGGAACCGGACCGATTTCCAGTTTCTAGGACCGGGGATCGGACCGGCTAATCTTGGGACAGTGGACCGGACGGACTGTCGGTCCGGTTCCAATGGAACCAATTGGTAAAGATAAGAGGGAACCGGGAAGCATTTTCGGGACCAATATATGAAAGCATTTTGGGTTGGTCCCATTGGAACCGAATAAAAATGAACTATCAAATGCTTCTTTTGTTATTTAAATATATATATTTAAAAAGTAAATATATATATATGAAAAAATTAGAAATATATATATATATATATGAAAAAATTAGAAAAATATATATATTTATCGGTCCGGTCCGGTCGGTCCGGTTCCCACCCTAGAACCAGGAACCGGACCGCCCGGAAACCGGTTCCACTTTTAGGAACTGGGAACCGGACCGATATTCCCGAGAACCGGACCAAATCGGTCGGTCCGGTTCGGTTCGGTCCGGTCTGGTCCCGGTTTAGGCGGTCCATCTTACTCACCCCTATTACATTGTATTGACCATATCACCCTCATAATGACTCAAAAGTGGGGCTCATTTGGGATTTTTCATTTGTTCCTTTTTTTCTTCCACTTTCCTTTTTCTTCTCGGTGGTTTTATTGATTAGGGACCCACAAATGTGAAGATGACGCCGTCTCCCACAATGGTTCTTTGATTAGAGTGTTGAGCTCTTTATTCTCCTGAATAGCTAGTTGCAGATGCATCAGGTTTATCCTCTTCATGTTCTGGTCTTGCTCGTGGGCTCAAGCACCTCGATCATTCTGTTCTGATGCTAAAAAATCATCGTGAGAATCAAATGATCACCGGAAAGAATTACAAGCCCTCTCTGCATTGGTAAAGCTTGGAGTGATCACGATTAGTGTGGTTAATCCTCGTCCTGCTACGGAAGTTCAACGCCAAGGCCAAGCTCTATAAGAAAGTCTCGTTCTCCTATCTATTCCTCACTAATAATTTGAACTACATGGTGGAAAAAGCGAGATTGGGGTAATTAGTGTCGGAATAAAATGGACTCAAGGTGAGTTCTTATGTGCCCCTATATGACTGATGCATGAGTGGGAATAAAAATGAGGAAGAGGGATTAGTGTCTGCGTGAGAGATGAGGCGAGGAAAAAGGATTCGGGAGCTCCGACGATTTGCATCTCTC